TGAGTTATGGGTTTACTTTTAAGGGTTTTGGGAGCATTGAAAAAGTCTTGGGAGGAGTGAAATAGTGGTAAGGAAATTGGGGGCTAAAAGCAATTTCCCCAAAGAAAAATGCTAAAAATAAAATATTAAATAAAAGCTGAAGGTGTACCTACGTGTTGTGAGCTAGTGTGTCGTTAATGTGAGCTAGCTATCATTAGAGTATATTGACAATCTAATCCAACAAATGAGTTTGTGAGCACTCGAACGCGTTAACAAGCATCAATTTCATTTACTCAAACAATATTTTTTAAGTAGCGCTAACTTAACATGCGGCTCTCACATGGAGAAATATTCAATGACCCATATCTATGGTATTAATAGAGTACCAAACCCATATCAACTATTGAATAATTGAAGTCAGGAATTTGTGCAATGATCCAACAGTTGATACTTCTTTGACACGTTATGATGTAGCGAACCAGTCGCACTGGATACTTTCTCAATCCAGGGACCGAAAGCTCTTGTTGCTGCAAGATAGGGACAACTTATCTGAGACGAAAAAAAGGCACCTACCATTCTAATAACAGGCACAAAAAAGGCAAAGTCGATCTCACCTCGCCAAGTCAGCACATTCCAATAACAGGCAATAATACATACAGTGCATTCTTCTCCCAGTTTCCTACAATTGGGTACAGACTATAACTTTCCTTTTACACAAAAACATACAAAAAAGAACTGATTGAACTTATTAGCAGTTTAACGCATCCTCAAGTCATCACTACTTTTCGCTTTTCTGTAAATCAGTAGGGTAGCATTTGATCGCCGGAAAGAATCACTGGCCAGAAGGAGCTTTCGATTGTGGTGGCAGACCATCTATCATGCTCAGCTGTCTCCTCAGCTTGACAATATGGGCTTGAACCTGTCGTAGTAGCATAGCATAAATGTCAAAAAAAAAAAAAAGAAAAAAAAAAGAAAAGAACTCTATTCTGATGCACTGTTATCTTGAAGAGTTGAAATAGAGAAGTAAATATGGTGAGTCCTCGCACTTAACAACACTCTCAAGTATGGTGGCTTAGAAAACAAATGTCCAATCATATGCTACGAAGGTTTCGCCTAATCATTGTACTTAAGTGATTGTATTCTTATGAAATTTATAGATTACTGGCGAACCAATTCAAGGGAATGGATTTTGCTTTAGAGAAACCATTTTGATGCACGACTACAAGAATAAGCCGCTCAGTCTTATCCAAAAGATAGTACAAGAAGCATGCAGATCAGAACTCTAATTCTTGTAGATTAATGTTGCAAGGGTATGGGTACAGGTATGGGTATCGGAACGGACACGGGAAATTTGTAAAAGGTAAGAGTACAGGGACACGGCAATAAGTATGTACATTATGTATATTTATCAGTATTAAAATTAATAATTTACCTCAGATCAATATTGCTTTTTCTTTACATAAGATCAATATATTAGAAAAAAATGTGGAGTGTAGTATACATCCAAGAAGTGTATGAGTTTGGATAAATGTACGGGTACGGATATGTGTCGGTACGGGTACGGCTTCCAAATAGACATACCCAGGTAACATAGCTGTAGATCTTCTGCTTCATAGCAAGTCCCACCAATCTCTATAATCTTGTAGGGCTGACTGTTTAACAGCTAATAGCTAATTCGCACACCGCCCTCTTAAAATGCTTCAATGGAACTGACAAGTAAAGACAATACTAAAAGTCTACATCGCCTAAATATTGTTGATTGCTTGATCATGATTTAACTCTAGACAAGGATATTCTATTTCTAGCACCAGAACTGTAGGACTGGAAAAATTGGCATGACTGCAGCAGAGAAGGACTAGATACTCATTTAGTTTGGCGACTCTAAGGAAGAGTTGTTGATTTAGCAATTGGCAACAGAGGCAAAAAAAAAAAGAATTATGAACATAGCTAAGGTGGGTTTAAGACAAATATGTGATTTGCTAAGGGGCTGGTAGGTGATTATGAGATGGGTAGTCAGGGCACTGAAGCACCCAGAAAAGACCATCTAGAGAATTTTAGCCTAATGGACATTCTTGTAGAAATGCAGTGAGTCAGAAGGTAACAGCACGCAAGGGATATGGCAAAAGGACACAAATGGCACAGATGTTCACAGACCAGGACTCACAACCCAGAAGCTTGACAGCAAAATGATATTTGCGTCCTGCATAATGTGCATGGAAAAAAAATTGCAGTCTGATTGGCCAAGATCTCTTTTGTATTATAGGATTCATAGCAATATACTCACTTCGTACTACGACCTGCAATGCTCATCATATACTGCACCTACGCCGTTCAAAATTAATGAACTTACAGTGACAAGCAACTAATGACACACAAGCATGCACGCGTGCGTGCACACAATAAATTTGAGCCATGTGCATGGGAAGGTTAAAGGGAATAAACCCTCCTAACCTGTTGCCGAGCAGCAGCAAGTTTCAACAGCTCGTCCGCCTCCGAGAAATTCATGAACCATTGACTAAGCGGGTGGTCCTTGGTGTCACCTCTTTTTCTTTCATTGACATGTTCAGGAGGACCTATAAAAATTAGAGACGTTTGAGTATTATTAGCTTAGAAGCAATGAACCACAAAATACCCAAAACATCATAATGCCATACCAGGTGGCGGCAAGTTAAAACTGGCAGGTAGCCGGGGAACAATTGCAGCTGGATGATTTTGGACTCTCAGAAAAAAGGCTTCAGATGGCTCAGAGAAAACAATCTCATCATAAGTTTCAATAACAACCGGTTTTTTTGTTGTTTGAGGTCCACTATCATCATCAGGATATAGTTTAAGCTGGTGGTATCTGCAAAACAAATGGACAAATAGACAGCAGACTGTGATTTAAGATTATTTATAAGATTGACAAATGAACAAAACTGAATGCCATTTACCAATGTGCCTGAAACTTACAAGTCCAGTTGCTTGTCACAAACATCACTGTGAAAGAAGAGGGATATTACAATCTCAAATTCTCCCCATCCAGATTCCGACAATTCAAAAGGTGGCGATTCTACAACCCTTGTTGGATTGTTGAAACTAGGATGTAGTTGAAACACAACACGCTTAATTATTACACTTAAATCCTCATTTCCTGCCCCGCGAACATAAACAGTCCACTTATGTGAATGGTACCTAAAGGAAGCAAACAGTGAAAACAATTCAGTTAATACTTAACTAACTGGCATGTAATTCATCATAAGTTATAGCATTGAAGGCACCCTAATTGAAGGGATAAAAGGAAGAGAATAAAACTCACTCGCTTGCTTTTTTCCCAAGCCAGAATGCTATAGTCCCGTATACAATCGGAAAGCTGATCTCCACATCTTTGAGTTTTTTGCTCTGATCCCACATGTGGAAAAAAATTAATAAAACTAGTCTTGTAAAAGTGATCTGTAAGTTGCACGGACAAGGGAAATTTATGCGACTTAATACTACAGACCTAGACAAAAAACTAGGATATTGTTCAGCATGGAAACAACAAAATATAGGCATTTTTTGTCATGAGTTTCTGTTATAATTAACAAATTTTCCTCTTAATGTAGTAGCTGTTAAAATAAACATTCTACTTAACATGAAAATTGAACGAATAAGAATTATGAACTACAAATTTCGAACAAGAAGTCTTCTTTTATTTCAAATCTCACAAAGCTAAACAATGCTCTTCACTCTCTCAATAGGTAAATAACAAAAGAGCATTAATTCGTGTGGCATTTCTCCGCAATAAGCCATTTACTCTAGCGCCATTATAAAAATCTAAACTTTACAGTTTAGCAGAGTTTAAATTAACAAATATTGAGCTTCAAACAAAACCCTAACCCTAACACAAAGAATAAGCAAGGACTAAGTTGATATTTATCGGAATCGAATCGGCCGATACGTAGAACTGAAGATACTTACTGAGTGACTAGAAGATTTTTTGCCCGTCGTCATTGATCGAGAGGCGATCGGTGACACCCACCGTCGCTTTTTTCGCCGGGGAAAAATTAGGGTTCCGGCGCTCGTTTCGGGGGGAGAGAGACCGGAAGTTGTCGGGTTCCAGGACCCGACCCGTTTAACTTAAGCCTGCTCTTTTTTACCTTTTGTTCGCATATGCGCCCTTCTATTATTGAGATTTTGCTACGTTATCGACAGGTTTGAGTTTATTTAGACATTAGCCCCTTGCATCTCAGTAATTGCTCATTAGTTCATTAAACTCATAGGACTCTTGCAAAAATTTCGTCTCCCTAGCCAGCCTATGTTAGTTTTGAAGGGAATGTTCTTTCAACTTCAACGATTTGAGATGCGATTTATCATTGAAGTCGCTTAAAAAATTTTAGAGAATGGGAAAAGCTTATGGTTGGTGAAGTTAATTGTTAGATGAGGGGTAAAATAGGAATCTTGCTTAAAAAACCTATTGACTAAGAAAATAAGGACTCCAAAAATTCTTTCAATACCTTTTTAAAAATAAGCCAACCTTATATGCAACTAAATTACAATGAGGGTGTTTTTGGAGGGCATGTTTTTTTAAAGCTTATAAAAATTTGCATAGATAGAGAAATCATTTACTTGGTCAAATTTAGCTTAATTAGTTTTTTGAAGGCTGAATTACATAAAAATACCACAAAGTTTCCATTATGTAGCAGATAAATACCATAAATTGTATTTGTCAGAAAAAAAAAAGGCCATAAAGTTTTGAAAAGTAGCATGTTTCTACCTTCTGTTAACAAAATAAAGGAATATCACGAAGAATATTCTCATGGAGATTGTCACTTGGGATTTTTCATTAACAACTGAACCTATTCGTTAAAATATCCACTCTTCTACCTACATCTCTCTAATTTAAAATTTCTTTTTCATTTTGACTCATAATTCCCAAATCCGCTATTGTTCTCCTCCAATTCGTTGCAGGATCCTAATTCCACAATCTTGCTCTTCCCCCGATCATTCTCCCTTGACACAAATCTAGGTGCAAAATCCCTTCAAACTCCAAACCCTAGGCTGAAATTAAGGTAATCACCCTCTAAGTTTGTAAATTAGGGCATATTTAATATTATTTAAAAAGTAACACAAGAAAAGGAGGGGGTTGATGATTTATTTACTTTGGTCAGGATTAAGTGCACCCATAATTAGGGTTGCTAAATAGTATTCGTATCCGATAAAATATTTGTAGCTGTATCCGTTAGGATACGAATATGGTTACTCAAATCTATATCCGTTAAGATAGCCAGTTTTTTCCAATCAGATTTCAATTCAAAACAGCACCAAATTCAAACATATTGAATAAGATAGCTAGTCTGTACACGTCATAAAACATATCGAACAAATGAAAAAGCTGAAGTTGAAAGCTACGAAGTGGCGGTGTCTTCGTGGCTTCCATTCCATAC